ATTTCGTACAAACGATGTCTTCATTACGACTCACTATACGACGGGAGATACATTGCATGTGTATTCTGGAGTGGTATATTGCATCCCCCAATTCATTGTCGGAGATGACCATGGCTTGTGTGTGTTACTTGGATCGCAGTTTGAATCAGTGTTCAGTAACCCCCGCTACTCAACGAAGGAGAATAAAATTGAAGTTCTCCAGGAGATGCCAGGCGGAAGAGGGTTGGAAAACATTGAGTTTGGACCAGAAGACATGGAAATTAGTATCAAAGAACTGGTGACGTTTTCAGCGCCAGTACCCGATGAAATTCCGACAGTGCTGTTGAAGAAGAGTATTGGAGCACTGAATGCTCCGCTCACAATTCTCTGGAAAGCCTCGATGACGGAGGGAATTATCTCTGAGGGCCTCAAAGTGGGACTGATAACGTCAATCCATAAAGGAGGTCCGAGGGACAGACCCCAAAATTACAGACCTGTGACCTTGACCTCACATGTGATCAAGGTTTTTGAGAAGGTAGTGGTCAGGAGGCTTGTCCAGTATATGGAAGAGGCTGACCTGTATAATAATGGACAACATATGGTCTCCGGCGAAATCGTTCCTGTTTGTCACTGTTACTGGAGCACCATCATCGTCTTGTGGCCCAGCTGGAGGAGGGAGCTGGCGATCATATGCTGATAATCAATAAAAGTTATCATTTGATTGCTCGTGATTTTTGTCACCGAGTATACCACGTAATTGAGAGCGATTAGCAGGCATATAGCCATATTACATAGTAAAACATCGGCAGGCTTAGAAAATCGGTATATATGTTTTAACTGCAACCTGTACGGTGCCGGTGGCAAACTGAGACCAAACATCGGCAATTGAAACATCATTTCAATTATTTTCTATGTATCAATAATCTTTGTTTCATATTGGTATAATAATGGCATTGATTAAAAATTTCAATATCTGATGATATTAATATCAGAAGAGCATGCATAAACATACTTAGGGTTTCATCAGAACCAAAACACTAATAGTACAATAGCTGGTTTTCAACGAAATGGGCATTTTTAGCGCATTTTCTCATTTATGGAAAAAATGCACTATTGTGCTCGCCATGTCCGTCTGTCTGTTTGTCTGTCTGTCTGTCCGTCCGTCCGTGACCTCAAGTTTTCGTCGACGAGAAAATACGCTCTCTGTCACTCACTGTCGAGAGTACTGAGTTATATTTTTTTTTTGATCCAGGCGTAGCACAGTAAAGATCGCGTGTGCAAATTTCCACACCTCGTAGTCCCTGTTTTGCACTGGCGAAAAAAATAAGCAGCGCTACCGACAAGCCCGAGGGTAGACCAAAGCTCGCCAAAAAACACCGCAAATTGTCGGTCTCAAAAATTTACCTTCGACGGTTCTTGCGCTGCGAGCGATCTTCTGAACTCCGGTAGACGTAATTAGCATCAGCTTAGGGATCTTTCTACTCCGAAGAGATTTAGCGCAGTGGAAAGAACACGTGTCAGTAATTTTGTTCAATTCTGGTTATATGTAATAATGTATTATACCTTTCGCATTACTGGTGATTCCTAGGGATTCGATTTTCATTAAATATTTTGGATGTACTTTATGCATTACTGAAGATGTTTTCTACTCGATGGTGATTCAATTTTCACTAAATCTTTTGGAAAATATCATTTACGTCATCTTGATTTGCACTGAAATAAGATGAAAATGACGAAATTATGAAAAACCTATCCCATATCATCTACTTCGATGAGGTAATTCGTAAATCTTTATGGCTTTTATGTATGAATTAGTTCAATAATAATTTTTCAACGAGTTAAACTATCGCGTATTATTTCCATTTCTACTTAATAGAATTTTCTAATGAAACATCCATGCACAAGACAAGTGGAAATATTCGATTTAGAAAAAAGTCTGACGCTATTGTAATACCAAATTTTCGTAACATGTAGTTACAAAATAGTAAAAACTACTCGAATGCAATCGATGACACTAGACGTAGGAAATGTAGGAAATAGCTATATTGTCCCTTGTGAAGTGGGTTGATTTAGCTCGGCCCGTCTGGCCTTGCCCCAGGCTAGTGCTCGTAGTTGTAGGCTATTCAACGGGCTCTACTAGTCTGAAAAAAAAAACAAAGAAAACCCTTTTTCTTTTCATTTGAATGAACTTCTTAGCTCAAATTTTCTTGCCGAGAGATCAAACTTCTACAATTAATGTCACCGTGGCTTTGGTTTAATGACTAGTTTATGATGTAATATTGTTTGTACTAAAATTTAATCAGATACAATTCCTACGTTCAGTTATACGCCGAGTTTTTTTTCAACATAAATACAATAGTATTCAGTGCCAAATGAAAGTTTTTACAATTTTGTTTTACTTTATGCCAAATTTGACTTTGATTCAACGTAACGTGCTCAGTGAGTGAACCAAACAAAATATTTACTTTTGGTTAAGTTGGAATATTTGTTGTCACCAACAGAAATAACAAACTAGATTTGTTTCAAGTGGGCTTAGCAGTTAACTGGGTTAAACTCAAACTAAAGATATAACACAAGTTAAGCAACAAACAGGAACCATTTGCTTTCGCACATCTATAGTAATTGTGATACAATACTATTATAGTATGACAAGTATTATTTGGAGTATTATTATTATTTTAGTGCCGCAATAACTATACTATATTTATTGGCGTGATTAACGTATTATAGCAAATGGTACAACAGTGAATATGCAGAATTTTTCACATTTTCTTGTTAAGCAACAACGGAAAACAAATTGAGTGCAAATAATTTTAATTCAGAGAATTTATAATTAATTTGCTGAACCGAAACATTGAGATAGTAATGTAAGCCATGGTTACTTCAAAATAACCTGAATCATTAAATAAGATTATTACTTATGTATACCTGTGTGGAGCGACAAGATAAATACAGCACACACTGTATTCAATCATTCAATCACATTATTCACTCACCCTAGTGAATGCAGCCCAACGTGATGTCATCACCAGCGAGGCAAATCCAAGGTGATTAAACACGTGATTTCCCAGCCATGACGGTGATACGGAATTGTGATTAATAATTCACCATATTAACATCAACAGGGTTAAATTGTGGTGGATAATTCACCATATTAACATCGACCAGGATAAAATAGTGAATAATTCTTCACCATATTACCATCAACAGGATTAAATTGCGATTGATAATTCACTATATTAACATCAACCAGGATATAATCTTTACAATAATTCATTCGTAGGGGAAACTGTCGCATTTCAGGCTGCTGTGAACAACTTATAACGTATCTGGTGTTTTAGCGCATTTTCTCATTTATGGAAAAAATGCACTATTGTGCCCGCCATGTCCGTCTGTCCGTCCGTCTGTCTGTATGTCCGTCCGTGACATCAAGTTTTCGTCGACGAGAAAATGCGCTCTCTGTCACTCACTGCAGTGAGTACTGAGTTACATATATTTTTCAGTTCTTTTTGAAGAACTGAAAAATTCTTTTTAGTTCTTCTTTTTCAATCAAAGAATCAAAATTTTGTTTTTGAATCAAAGAAGCTATGCACAAATCGTTAACCAGAGGCCCTTGAACGCGATAGTGACGTGTTCATCGTTATGCATAGTGACATGTTCATCGTTATGCATAGTGACGTGTTCATCGTTATGCATAGTGACGTGTTCATCGTTATGCATAGTGACGTGTTCNTTGAGAGCGATTCTCAGGCATATAGACATATTACATAGTAAAACATCGTCAGGCTTAGAAAATCGGGTACATATATGTTTTAACTGCAACCTGTACGGGGCCGGTGGCAAACATGAGACCAAACATCAGCAATTGAAACATCATTTCAATTATTTTCTATGTATCAATAATCTTTGTTTCATATTGGTATAATAATGGCATTGATTAAAAATTTCAATATCTGATGATATTAATATCAGAAGAGCATGCATAAACATACTTAGGGTTTCATCAGAACCAAAACACTAATAGTACAATAGCTGGTTTTCAACGAAATGGGCATTTTTAGCGCATTTTCTCATTTATGGAAAAAATGCACTATTGTGCTCGCCATGTCCGTCTGTCTGTTTGTCTGTCTGTCTGTCCGTCCGTCCGTGACCTCAAGTTTTCGTCGACGAGAAAATACGCTCTCTGTCACTCACTGTCGAGAGTACTGAGTTATATTTTTTTTTTGATCCAGGCGTAGCACAGTAAAGATCGCGTGTGCAAATTTCCACACCTCGTAGTCCCTGTTTTGCACTGGCGAAAAAAATAAGCAGCGCTACCGACAAGCCCGAGGGTAGACCAAAGCTCGCCAAAAAACACCGCAAATTGTCGGTCTCAAAAATTTACCTTCGACGGTTCTTGCGCTGCGAGCGATCTTCTGAACTCCGGTAGACGTAATTAGCATCAGCTTAGGGATCTTTCTACTCCGAAGAGATTTAGCGCAGTGGAAAGAACACGTGTCAGTAATTTTGTTCAATTCTGGTTATATGTAATAATGTATTATACCCTGTCTCTTATACACATCTAGATGTGTATAAGAGACAGGTTATGCATAGTGACGTTTTCATCGTTATGCATAGTGACGTGTTCATCGTTATGCATAGTCACTATCGCAATGACAGTGCATCAACATACACTATCAAATGAACACTCAATGCACCCAAACATTTTGAGTTCGAATAAATTTATTTGGATGATACGAATTCTCGAACTTTTTCTACTCCACTTGGCTGCTGAATTCCATACTCGAAAGTTATATTAAAAGATTTTTAAAGACGATAGAATTTGTAAATGAAACAACAAGTGAATACTTTTTTTTCATAAATGCTGAAAAATTTGCTTCGTTTGCACGAGGAAGCTCATTTTGATTTAAAATATTTGTCAAAAATATTTATAATTCAGTTTTTATAACTGAGTTCAAATCGATATTCTAAGAAAGCTTTTGTCTCTTGACAAGGCAATGGTTGTAATAAAACGCTGTACAAATGATGACTTCATATCTTTATTTGAAAACCCTATTACTCACAGGACACTATATGCAGAAAACATACACAAATGTGCATATATTATACAAAATGTATAAAGCTTAGTCTGTACACGTTGAATAATAAGTTAGAGTTTAGTAAAGAGATCTGAGAGCTTAGGAAAGTACTCATAGAATTCGAGTATTTGTATTTAATTCAATTTTTTTAAATAATAATATTTTAATAACACATTCATACCGTTACACTTTCAGTGAAATCAATTCGGAGGACTAGCTAAAATTGAGGTTAAATTTCCTTCTTTGTCGCGACTTTCGGTGTTGATTACTTATACACAATTTTTTTACTAAGTCACATAATTATCTAAATAGTTTCTTTTACATTAAAATAATGAGTTTATATTGAATTATGAACATCGTAATCGCTTCTTAGTTTCATGGGAAAGACTGAAAAATCAGCGGTTGAACTCGCTTGAAAGTATTTTAGAGTAAAAATTGTTCAGGAGTAGAAAATTTGCTTTAAATCAATCCCAATCACGAAATAAAACATGAAAAATATCAATCATAGATTACATTCATATATTTTAGTATGAGTCATTAAACATAAGAACCTAAAACGGAAACAGAGATGTTTTTGATTTTTAAACATGCAGAAACATTTTATGTTTTCCGGAACCTTTTCATTTTTATGTGAAATTTTACACAAATGTTACTTCGCTTCTAAGATTCTCATTAACAATATATACAGACATGAAGTATTTATTATTTACTTTCTAGGAAGGAAAATTACAGAACGAACGCTCTGCGCTATAGCCTCTACAAAACATGTTTGGTTGTTTCAGCAGCGTTGAATTTGTCATACAACTTGAGATGTACAATACTATATATATTACAAAGTTTTACCTTCATTTTACACGAAACCTTACATTAATGAAAGTTAAAGCTCTTCACAACAGGTCAGCTCCCTGAGAGACTACAACATTAGAACATTTCCGTACAGGAACATTTAAAACGTACAAAATAGACTGATTCCAACAAACTACATTTGCCAAATGGAGATCTGAAATCCGAAATTTTGATGCACAACGTATACTTTAAACCTCTGCAGGATGCTTGGTAGCACATGTTCGAGAATAATTTAATAGATCTGTCAATTAACATTTTATCTGTCATTAGCGAAATGCGTCCAACAATTCGCAAGCTTCTAGTTGCTTCGATTATTTTAGATTACATTCGAAGGACCTAAAACTTACGAGAAATCAACAGTTTATTCCTCTAATCCCCTAAAGACCCTCGTGAAATTTTGTACCCATGTTAACTTATGTTCCCATGTTATCTGTTGTACCCACGTTATCTTTTGTCCCCACATAAACTTCTGCACCAGGTTTTCATTCTCAACCAAGTACAACTTATTAAGATTTCTTCACATTGCTTCCGGTGATCATGAATATCAATTAAGCAATATTTGTAATGAGCCGTTATCATTCAATGCATATTTTCTTTGCATAAAAATCATAATTTATGTGCTAATACGACCGACACCTCGGGAATTCATAAGAGTCTGATGATAGCTAATATATAGTCAGATAATATAAATATAAATAGATGATATATAGCGAGATGATAGACCAACAGTTGCATACCGGCAAAATACCGATAATTTTTTAAGCGCTGACAGCAAGAGTAGCCAACGCGGCCACAGATACAAGAGAACTGATATCACTTTTATTATTTTTAAATATAAAAGTGCCTCCACTTTGTCGCATAAAACAGCATTTAAAGGTCCAAAATAACACAGCTATAAATGTTGAATCAATTAAACTAGTGATGAATCCAAAAAACAGAAATTTTTAACCTGTTCAAGTGAATAAAGCGTAACAATTTCTCTCTCTAAGTTGAAATTTACAATTATCACTGTTAATTTCAGCAGATGTGTGGGTGACGTGCAATCACTTTCTCCCTTTTTAGTTTTGCGTCTGTTTCACTTGCGATGTTCAGCATAGAATTGAGCGGTAGTTCAGAAACGTAAAATGAAATTGAAAACTGGATTCGACGGAAATCTTAGGAATATTTTAAATATAAAATTCTGTAATAACCCCAGAGGAAAAAGTGACTTTAATTCTGATGAAGGAATTTCGAGAAATCTTTTACTTGAACCGAAAATGATAAAGACAAATTTTCTTCGGTACCCATCGAATGCCAGACAGAATAGCTAACCTGATTGATCATGAAAATCTAAATAAAATATATCATAGATTGTTAAGAATTGACCATTTCATGGTTAATTAGAAAATAGTCTTTCTCAGTGGATTTGACAATTTCATTCGCCCATTTAGCAAATATTTTACGAACAGAAATCTACAGTTGGTGTAGGAAGTTTTGCTCGTCGCTGTACCGAGAGAATTTGTGTCTCCGCGCGGACATCATGTGAAGCCGTCGGAATGTTAATGAAGCAAGAGCTGCGTGCTCTCGGCCGCTACACGACAGCGCTACCGACAGTAGCTCATATACGACAAGACAAACCCATACTTCATACGACAAGATGAACCCATATTTCATAAGACAAGACGAACACATACCTAATACGACCTGATGAACCAATGTTCTTACGACAAGACGAACCCATGTTCACATGACATGACGAACCTATACTTCATATACGACAAGCCAAAAGCATACTTCATACAACAAGACGAACCGAACCCATACTTCATACGACAAGACGAACCCATACTGCATACGACAAGACGACCAAATTTCATAAATCATTTAATGATAAGATTTCAGTTGCCATGAAAAAATTCAATGAAAATTTTGACCACAGCGCCACGACAAAAATGACTGCAAAAATAAGTTGTGCTTCGTGCAGAAATTATACTGTGGGTTTACAGGCGAACAATCAAAAAAGGTGAGATAGTGATTGCAATATTACAGAAATAACTCCTATGAGACAAACTAATAACAATAGCGACTGTAGGTTGAGCTAAAGGGCAATGGGCATGGGTGAGATAGGGGGCGAAGGCACCCTCGCTTTGGAGGAGTGTAGGATTGTATGGTTCCTGAGGTTGGTGAGCTTGCTGAATCCTTTGCCACAAACGCCACATTTGTGAGGCCACTGCCCGTTGTGAACAAACATGTGTGATCTGAGGTCCCCGGGTGTAGGGAAAGATCTGGTACACAGGGAACATTTGTGGGGCTTTTCTTTGACGTGAGTCATTTTATGGTAGTAGAGATTGCTTGAAGCGGTGAACCTTTTGCCACACACTCCACACTGGTGTGGTTTCTCTCCACTGTGGATTCTTCTGTGAGTGTTCAACGAACTGCTAGTAGAGAACCCTTTGCCACACACGTCACAAACATGAGGTTTCTCCCCTGTGTGAGTGCGCATGTGTCTTTTTAATAGTGATGGTCGGTCAAACGATTTGCCACATTCAGAACACGGTAGCATTGTTCGCTCCCTCCTCTTGATAGGTGCAATTGGAAGAGATGAACTAGAAGAGGAGCTGTCAATTCCACCACTGCTGCTGGAAGGGCTTATGGAACTCACGGTGGTGGTGACGGTGGTGTTGGGGGAAGCTGGGGGAGTGAGGCCTGAGAATCTCCCGGCCATGAAGTTAGGGAATCTAAAGTCGACTGGATTCAGAAGAGAAGGAGTAGGAAACGCTAAAGGTCGAGGGTGATGAGGAGAAAAATAAGGTGTGCGAGATAAAAATGAGGTTGGGGAGGGAGGGAAATGAGGCGTGTGTTCGGGTGAAGAAGCTGGGGAGGAACTTGGGGAAACTCCAGACGACTCATCGGAATGAGTGGGTGAAGGAGTACCTCTGCTTGGGGATTGCCTCTCTCTGGAGCGGCTTGGAGACGTCAAAAGTCCTTTGGACAAATCTAAAGGAGTCTCAGCCATGATTGAGTCGATAGTTCGTTTATACAAGGATGACCTTAACAACTGCAGTGCTGGTAACAAGAGATTAGTTTCTTCTCCAGTGGGGCAACATTCTGGTAACAAAAAACCCAATAGTTCAGCCCCTGCTTCAACTTCTCTGATGACGTCAAAAACCACTTCGCTGCCGATGCGTCTGCCGACGATGGTAACGTCATTTGTGTAGACGGGAGTGACGCGTAGGAAACGTACCCAGTTACACGTACGTCTGCCCTCTGTGTCTACTGCGTCGTACCCGCCGTACCTCACTCGTATCTGTAAGAAAAAAATAACTACGATGTAAGCAACATACATAAACCGGTCAGTTTTTCACAATAACACACAACTCGTATCTGCAACGAAAAAATGAAAACGATGTAAGCAAAATACACAAACCGGTCAGTTATTCACAATAACATATAACAATTGCATATTGGATTCCTATAAAAATCGTTTTTCTGTGATTTATTTCCGTTTTGATAACAGTGGTATGTTACATTTTTGTTAGTGCGGTGCTAAACCATCGTCATTACCGAGCTATTCCTGCGAACGAGATAAGCAACAGCACTGGAGCCCCTCGCACGCGCTGCAAAATGGCCGTTATTTAAATGAAATACATTCTTTATTGATCGACAACAACGGAAATGTTTACTGATAGCTCGGGTATAAATGAAGTACTGCAATCATTAAGACTCTCAAAAGTTTTACGAGGGTAAAACATTTGAATGCAGGAAATTTTTCGTTGAAATAACAATGTAATTGGTTTCAGCTTCTGAGTTATTACGGATCTTCCTATTAAACTGTGAATAAAATGATATTTCAGCCAGGTAATGATAGTCCCAGTCCTATTTATAGATATATAATTGTAAATAAAAATAATAACTTGAGAAAATCGTCGTGGAACATTTAAGCTGCTTCAACTCTTATCACAATGAAAGTAAATAACGTAGCCAAGTTGCTTTTTTGTCTGCCAAAGCGCAGCCTCTGTAGTATTAGTCTTTTCAAGTCAAACCAAGTGGAATAATCACCAGATCGAAGAGCTCAATTGAGACGTCTGCGAGCCCGGCAGCTTATCGTTCTCATGTTCAGCCAGCCTTGACGCTCTAACCGACCTCTGGGGCCATACTATCAAAACTTGCTAAGTGAACGTAAGTACTTACGCTCTATTTTCTTGTCTATGATTGGTGGATTTGGCTTGAAAGGCTGCCAATGATTGGCTGATGAACTTACGATCTCTTAACTTTTTAAAATGTATTGGTCCTGGGTCCTGACCAACATCGTACAGTGATTTATGCTGCAGTTAGGGATTATGTGTTCACACAAACTCACACACACACACACACACGTAATTCTTCCAAGTTAATACGGATAACACGAGAAATCTTTTCCTACGTAACACAGATGCGACAGAAACTGTTACTAATTAAGACGTATATTGTAGAAAACTTTTGATAAGTGATCACAGATCCAAGAGAAAACTGTTACTATGTAACCCAGATCCCAGGTGAGTATTTTTATTTTATAATAAATAGTTCTGGGTAAAAGTATTCATGTTCAGAGTAAATAATATAGGATTCTAGAGTAATATGAAAGATTTGGAGCCTAAGTATAAGAAAAAGAATTTGTACAAGTTTTGGAATAAGAACCATATTTATTAACATTTTCGACAAATTATTGGTGGCCACGTTAAATCCTGTCGATCGGCGTTCCCAAATGGTCACTAATTGTTATTGAGAAAATAAATCATATACTTATTTCACACTGTCTCAATTTTTGTGTTATTCAGACATACATTGTTCTTCATATTCTCTATCACAACAATAGGAGAATTTTTTTATTCAAAACTCCTGTTCAAAACTCCTGCACAATAAGTACTTATATTATAAATCTGTTTATATTGCAAGTTCACAAGGAATTTAAAAGCAAAGAAAACGCCAAGTAAATTCACTATACCGATATTGAAAACGTTTTCAATATCGATCATATGGTGCATCTGCTCGGCGTTTTATTTGCTTTTAAATTCCTTGCCCTTCAAAATATTTTTTACATCATACTTCGTTCGTCCATTCGCTCCTTCAATAACTCACTTAGTGTTTAAGAACGTATCGATGATCCTATTACCTATTTTCAAGGATAATAACTTAACTGGTATGTACCTTATCATCCTGGGATATACTCATCCAACAGTTAGGTCTGTCTCTTATACACATCTAGATGTGTATAAGAGACAGCAATTACAATACAAGTTCTATCGGTCATCCTGTACAAGTGCTGAATGGTCGTCTTATATTGCTGAATTGTCGTCTATAACGTCGTCTAGTCTATTGCAGTGATTGAGCTAAAGTTTTGAAGGTCGTTCAAAACCGTAATGGTTGTGAAGAAAGGCCTCTCGCAACGGCTTTAACTTAATAGGTTTTATTAAAGTAATGTANAGACCGTCTTAATTTATATTAACTGCATACCATTCAGCTAGCTATTTAAACTTGCAAGGGTTGGGTCAGTGCTAGACCGTCTTAATTTATATTAACTGAATACCATTCAGCTAGCTATTTAAACTTGTAGGGTTGGGTCAGTGCTAGACCGTCTTATAGTAACTGGCCGCTAACGATAATGATAGATGCGCCAGATCGTATCAATTTATTTGGCTAGAAAATTTTTGATTGACTCGTTTTATCTTCGGGACATCGCTACTCATGAACTCGATAATTAATAATATAATATGCTGAAATACGACCAGTTTACATGTCCCCATCCTCGAAATGCATGAGTGTTATTTATTTTCTTTAAATTTGTGTACCGTATGTCCGGCATACAAATCTGCCATATATCCCTATCCAATTTCCTTGTTGTATCCTATTTACGTGTAATTATGTATACTTATATCCGTATATATCCACTTTATCCGTCTTTTTTACGAATTGTATTTCCTGTTTTTGAAAAAATTTCTTTGTCATTTGTGTATTTTTCATTCAGTGTGCTCTTTTCATTTCATATCTTACAGAAGATTTGATAACAATTAATATACATACTTTTGATCATTAAAACTCATCCAATAACGCAAGTGAATGTGATACTGCGTTATGAGCCAGAAAGAACCTAAATTCAGCATGTGTTACTCATATGCTGATAATCAATAAAAGTTATCATTTGATTGCTCGTGATTTTTGTCACCGAGTATACCACGTAATTGAGAGCGATTAGCAGGCATATAGCCATATTACATAGTAAAACATCGGCAGGCTTAGAAAATCGGTATATATGTTTTAACTGCAACCTGTACGGTGCCGGTGGCAAACTGAGACCAAACATCGGCAATTGAAACATCATTTCAATTATTTTCTATGTATCTATAATCTGTGTTTCATATTGGTATAAAAATGGCATTGATTTAAAATTTCAATACCGGATGATATTAATATCAGAAATGCATGCATAAACATACTTTGGTTTTCATCAGAACCAAGACACTAATGGTACAATAGCTTGTTTTCAACGAAATGGGCCTTTTTAGCGCATTTTCTCATTTATGGAAAAAATGCACTATTGTGCTCGCCATGTCCGTCTGTCTGTCTGTCCGTCCGTCCATCTATCCGTCCGTGACCTCAAGTTTTCGTCGACGAGAAAATGCGCTCTCTGTCACTCACTGTCGAGAGTACTGAGTTATATTTTTTTTATCCAGGCGTAGCACAGTAAAGATCGCGTGTGCAAATTTCCACACCTCGTAGTCCCTGTTTTGCACTGGCATTTATTGTAGTTATTGTAAAAGATTTTTGACGTTATAATTGCAGTGAATCATGAATAGTTAAAGTCTGGCAAGTTAAAGACTTTTCATGTTATAATTCATGCAATGAATCATGAATGCGTGAATGAGGGCGGAAGGGGCGGTGGCTCAGGAAGGGATACCGACAGCGCCATTTGCTGGCCCTTAATGTAAGAGGGAGGGGCGATGTGAGGGACCGAGGGGCGCAATGTGAGGGTCAGTGGGGCGCCGCCTGGAGTGAGGGGTGACGATACGAGGGAGAGGGAGGGACGCCATGTGAGGGACCGAGGGACGCCATGTGAGGGACCGAGGCGCGCCATGTGAGGGACCGAGGGGAACCATGTAAGGGCCCGAGGGTCGCCGCCTGGAGTGAGGGGTGACGGTTCGAAGTAGAGCTAGGGGGCGGAGGAAATACAATTAATTAGAATATATAATATGTGCTAAATGGAAGAAAATGAATGATGCGATGCAGTATGAGCATAAATATAAAGGAAGGTCTCGTGTGAATCGGTCCAAGTTTGTTATTATTCTCGGATTGAAATGTCCATTAAACTTAAGAAAGCTGATTTATATCTACACAAAATATCAATTAACTTATTAATATATCCATGGAAATTTCATTGGCTGATACATATCTCCATAAATGTTTAATTAGAATATTAAAATGTTAAAATGAATGAGCTGTGACGCAAATTGCTCGCGTAATATTCAAATATATTTCGAATGATTGAAGCTTAAATACTTAAACTAAAAGTACAGTCACAATCGCAGCACAAATTTTATTGGTTAAATATACAATATTTTGGTGTTCAAATATGAATGTGTGATGAGAGTCTGGATGGCGGTGTCTGAGATGCAAGTTCAGAATTTGATTAGTTAAAATAAGACAAGAAAAGTGCAAAAATTTACTGCGAGGTGATGATGGTGACTAAAGGATGATGATGGGTGATTGCGGGCGACGATGGGTAACTGTGGGACGATGATGGGTGACTGCGGGATGATGATGGTGACTGTGAGACGATGATGGGTGACTGCGGGATGATGATGGGTGACTGTGGAATAATGATGGGTGACTGCGGGATGATGATGTGTGACTGTGGAATAATGATGGGTGACTGCATCAGCCAATCATTGACGGCCTTTCAAGCAAAATCCACCAATCATAGACAAGAAAATAGAGCGTAAGTACTTACGTTCACTTAGCGAATTTTGAAAAAATGGCCCCTGGTGTTCAGGGCCCATACTTTCAAATAAACTTAAGAGATCGTAAGTTCGTCAGCCAATCATTGACGGCTTTCAAGCAAAATCCACCAATCATAGAGAAGAAAATAGAGCGTAAGTACTTACGTTCACTTAGCGAATTTTGAAAGTATGGCCCCAGCTTCCTATACATATCTCCGTTGATCGTGAGCAAGCTAAAGCAGAGTCCAGAAGTGGCTTTTCTTTCGTAATCAATCCAAAAATATTTCTAACTGGCCTTGGACCAAAACAACGGGTGGTTTTCAAGTGGCCAATGAATCTCCAGAGAGCGGCCAATGCCAATTGATGGCCTTTGAGTCATATAAATGCTTTTCTTTAATGGAGAATCAGACGTGAATATTGCCCTGAAACCAACAAATCTACATAACCCTAGAGTTCACTAGCCGCGATATTAAGTGGAAACAAAGTAGTGACGAATAGAGTATAACATTTTTTGGTATAACATTTATTTGGCTTGATCAATTTGTACCCCGTGTATGTCGAGCCTTTATACGCGGGAATAATAAATGTTATATATTGTAAATTAATAGTCGATATTTATGGAAGAATCCCAACGTTATCTCGATTATATGTGGAATTGTGTTGAATCATCGTGGCTAAAAAATTTCACAGGAGCCAACTAGCGATCGGCTGATTTCTGACGGCTATGAAACTGAGTATCCAAGATGAATTCGGCCTATACTTTCAAAAAAAGTTAAGAGATCCTGACCAACATCACACAATGATTAATGCTGCAGCTACGGGTATGTGTTCACACAAACTCAGACAGACACACATACACACACGTAACTCTTTCAACTTAGTACGGATAACACGAGAAAACTTTTCCTACTTAACACAGATGCGACAAAAATCCATGCCTAAGTAACACTTGTATTGTAGAAAACTGTTACTAAGTAACACAGATCCAAGAGAAAACTATATACATAGTTATACAGGTCCCAGGTGAGTATTTTTATCCTACAATAAATAATAAGGCGTAAAATTATTCGTGATCTGAGCTAAATAATCTAGCATTTTACAGTAATTTGAGAAATTTTGAGCCTTAGTATGAGAATAAGAATTTGTACAAGTTTTGGAGTAAGAACATTTGGAGTTTTGCAGTAAGAACATTTATTAACATTTTAGATAGTCTATTGGTGGCCACGTTAAAGCCTGTCGATCGACGTACAAAAATGACCACAAATTGTTATTGAGAAAATAAATCAAATAATTATTTCACACTGTCTCTATTTTTGTGGGGTTTAGACATACATTGTTCTTCATATTCACTATCGCAACAATTGGATAATTTTTAAATTCAACATCCATGCAAAATAATCTTTACATCATCCCTCGTTCGTCGATTCGCTCCTTCAATAACTCCCTTAGTGTTTAAGAACGTATCGATGATCCTATTACCTATTTTCAAGTGTAATAACTTAACTGGTATGGACCTTATCATACTGGTATACTCATCCACCAGTTAGGTTGTTTCTGCAACTAAAGCACCTATTTAGTCACTGGACGCCAAGTTTTAATGTTCCTTTCATTTAAGAGGCAGAAGAGAGCCATGGCATTATAATTTATTCACATGAATTAGTAATTAGTAATTAACTCGACCAGACAACCATATACATGAAAATGAAATGTGCCCAAACGCGACCAGCGCACATTTCATTTGTATGTGTAATTGTGCACGTGTATCCGAGTGTAGTTTTTCCACAATTTATTTTTACAATGAGTATGACCGTGGAAAATTTATTTATTTATACAAATGAAAATGACCATGAGGAATTTTAAATGCATAATATTTGTATGAGTGTATATATGTGTGTAATTTTGACCACATTCAAGTTGTCCTATCCATTCGAACTTGTAAATTGTGGCGAACTTGTTTTACATGGCTAAATTTATTTCACGTCAAGTGCCTCTACTGTTGCTTTTGTAAATGAAATGAAAACTTTTCAACTAATTTTACTGAACTAAAACGAGATTTAGCAACTGGTCAGAATTGCAGTGTTTCCAATCCTCATGTCTGCATCATTTTAAGCCTTTCCAAACATTAGAGTAAATGAATATCAGTTCAACCAGATAAACGAAACTGATGAACGTACAATAACTAAATATAATTTTCATGAATTAAATAAGTCTATCTAATCAAAGATTGAGTACCAAGTGATGATATTAGAAGATCATCTTCGTGGCAATCAGAAAAATCCGCGCTTCAAAAACCATAATCATCATGAATTCAATCAAGCCTCTGCATTAAAAATGTCATGACTATAGATAGCGCGACTCGTCATGATGCGCCAGGGAAGTTCAGTTAAACAGCCGATGTCAAACAGGCAAACAGTGCGACCTAATGGACGTGCTAACCACACGACAAACAGACGAACATAAGAAAGCTTTGCCTCATAATGGGTTCGTCAACAGGGGAAACCCATCCGACGTTGCGCGACCGACGAGCAAATACCTTCTTGTTGGGCCACGTTGCATCCATCATGCGATAAATACATTGGTGCACACTGCATACCATTCATTCAGCTAGCTATTTAAACTTGCAAGGGTTGGGTCAGTGCCAGACCGTCTTAATTTATATTAACTGCATACCATTCAGCTAGCTATTTAAACTTGCAGGGTTGGATCAGTGCCAGACCGTCTTAATTTATGTTAACTGCATACCATTCAGCTAGAGGGTCAGTGCCAGACCGTCTTAATTTATATTAACTGAATACCATTCAGCTAGCTAGTTGAACTTGCAGGGGTTGGGTCAGTGCCAGACCGTCTTACAGTAACTGCACCACTAACGATAATGATAGATGTGCCGGATCGTATCAATTTATTTGGCTAAAAAATTTTTGAACGACTCGTTTTATCTTCGGGACATCACATCGCTACTCATGCATGAACTCTGAATTCATGAATATAATATGCTGAAATGCGACCATTTTGCATCTTGATTGAATGTTCTGCATCATGGTTGAATTCAACCATGAGTTTGCATGTCCCCATCCTCGAAATGCATGAGTGTTATTTATTTTCTTTAAATTTGTGTACCATATGTCCGGCATACAAATCTGCCATATATCCCTATCCAATTTCCTTGTTGGATAGATCCCTATCCTATTTGCATTTAATTATGCATGCCCGTTATCAGTATATATCCACTTATCCGTCTTTTTTACGAATTGTATTTCCTGTTTATGAAAAAATTTCTTTGTCATTTGTGTGTTTTTCATTGTGTTTTTCTTTCATTTGTGATCTTTTCATTTCATATCTTACACAAGATTTGATATCTTACATAAGATTTTACATTGATATCTTACATATTTGATATCTTACATAAGATTTGAGTTAACTTACATATATTTTATCATTATCCAATTACGCAAGTGAATGTGATACTGCGTTATGAGCCAGAAAGAACCTAAATTCAGCATGTGTTACTCATATGCTGATAATCAATAAAAGTTATCATTTGAGTTTAATGACTAGTTTATGATGTAATATTGTTTGTACTAAAATTTAATCAGATACAATTCCTACGTTCAGTTATACGCCGAGTTTTTTTTCAACATAAATACAATAGTATTCAGTGCCAAATGAAAGTTTTTACAATTTTGTTTTACTTTATGCCAAATTTGACTTTGATTCAACGTAACGTGCTCAGTGAGTGAACCAAACAAAATATTTACTTTTGGTTAAGTTGGAATATTTGTTGTCACCAACAGAAATAACAAACTAGATTTGTTTCAAGTGGGCTTAGCAGTTAACTGGGTTAAACTCAAACTAAAGATATAACACAAGTTAAGCAACAAACAGGAACCATTTGCTTTCGCACATCTATAGTAATTGTGATACAATACTATTATAGTATGACAAGTATTATTTGGAGTATTATTATTATTTTAGTGCCGCAATAACTATACTATATTTATTGGCGTGATTAACGTATTATAGCAAATGGTACAACAGTGAATATGCAGAATTTTTCACATTTTCTTGTTAAGCAACAACGGAAAACAAATTGAGTGCAAATAATTTTAATTCAGAGAATTTATAATTAATTTGCTGAACCGAAACATTGAGATAGTAATGTAAGCCATGGTTACTTCAAAATAACCTGAATCATTAAATAAGATTATTACTTATGTATACCTGTGTGGAGCGACAAGATAAATACAGCACACACTGTATTCAATCATTCAATCACATTATTCACTCACCCTAGTGAATGCAGCCCACACATCGTTCAGAGTTCTATAAGGTAAATGTTATCCCTTCTTTTAACTTAGTAGTCTCAACGAAAATACTCTAACTTCTTTCTTTTCTCACGCAATACATGACATAAAATTGACAAATTCATGCAGTTTTTATTTACATCTTTTAATGAAAATATTTACCATTCATTTACATTCCCATATACCATTTATTTCCCATATACCATGACATATACCATTTATTTACATTTTCACAACAAGGCATTGGTTAGAACTGTCATTACTATAATCATAGATGGTACATGACTTACATCGAGGGGCTGGAGATATGGCAGCAAGGGAAGGTTATCTGCCCGGACGGTGCCACTGAAGGGGAGATAGCGAGTGTTGGGAGATAAGGTCCTTGTGGCACAAACTTTGATGCTATCCTCTAAGGGTAAGAGTCTGTCCAAGGGGGGCAAGGGTCGTGGCGATACTACCAGAGAAAACTCTGCTGGCATCAGCACCCGAGTGTCCATCAGCTTTGGATCACTCGATGAAGAACACGACTTCATCTTTAGAAAGTTTGTAGCCTTTGAGGCGTGCTAAGTTAAACGGGAAAAGTTTTTGGCGTTATGTTTTTCGTCGCCTGTGAGTGATCTGACTCTGGTTTAAAATTAGAAAATTCGTACAATTTTTTTCCAGATTTATCACTAAATTTTCCGCTTGAAACTTTCAACAAGTTTTTTACAACGGTTCATGAGTCAATCGTGATTCGCTTAACACTGCTTGGTCATGTTGTATGTTAATACACACTTGTCGCGTTAAGTCATATTCTCACAACGGTTTCTTAAACGCACTCGAAACAAATTCAAATATTGAACCTTAATCGTGTAACCTCCTGATCGAGTTTCATGAGCAGCACACACGGCAGGACTGGAACATCACCAGCGAGCGTCACAGTAGCGATCGCAATGACCTTCGAGTCCACACTGATATACACCTGGCCGAGACTTGTACAAGTTTGATCCCATAGCGGCCCAATGTTTGCTACTGTGCCCTGCCTGGTCTGATCATCAGCGACTGGGTACGAGTTCACATAACTCCGCCTCCTCATACAATACGGTTCACTGCTCGCGGCTTTCCAGGCAACAAAGGCACTTCGCAACAGGGGAATCCAGTCTTATACCCAACACCAAGCGCTGCCTTTAAGCCCCTTTGGAATGAGCTTGGCACTCGAGAGGTAAGACAAACTAAAATAGCTCGCATTGAGCGCGCGTAGCACGGGTTCTCGAACTGATTTTGTTTGTCGTGAGCATCGAAGTGGAAGAAAGTTTTCCTGGCCTCCTGATTGGTTGATTAGTCCAGGTGAGCGCCAACGACGAGCTTGTGGGAAGGATTTCAGCGGAGTTCAGGTGAGTCCTGTGAAGGAAGTAGGTGGAGCAAACAGGTGTGAAAGGCGGGATTGCAAGGTGTGGGAAAACGGATTTAAGGCCACACAAACAAACTGACGAACCCGCGCGTGCACGAAGACCGATAATTCAGCTGCTGTTGCAATCATTATTGCCCAGGCTGGCGAGCTTATTTTTGGGCGACCGCAATATTGGCTTCTGCCTCCTGGCTTGGTCGTGATAGCCTGGCAATATTATCGACGCAGCAGACGCAGGCTCCAAGGGATTTTGGTTGCTGCTGCCAAGATTAAATCGTTGCGGCGCAGCCACGTTTAAGCGTGTGCGCGGAATATCTTTAGCGAGTGCAGCTTCACTGAAATTGTAAATTTTCGGTTGTAATGGTTGAAAATTATTGACGTTGTTGATAGTGATCCTGATGTCACTTCTGCCATTTTCACGTCATTTATGTCCGCTGATTATTGCAAAAATATATGCATATCTGCTTTAATACGTTTTGGGACTTCGTTGTTTAAGATTGTTGAACTTGCTATGATGAAACATATATTCGTTTTTTATATTATAAACTTCCCCAATTAAGGTGGCTGATATTGTTTCAATCAGTGCAATTAGTTCCAACGTTGTTGAATGAAATTTATTTTGTAGCTGGTGATCATTATAAATCATCCTTGGAATCTACATCATACTTCATAAAGAATCCGATAATTGCTAACTACCTCTCACACATGGTAGGTACGATTTTTTAGGATGATGCTGCGTTGAAACGGCTGTAAATTTTCTTCCCTCCGAGGATTAAAAAAGATGCTTATTTTTCGAAAGATTTTTAACCTTTTTTAGACCTGCTTTCAAAGTTCATAGTTGATTTCTTCGTGTTTTCTTGTTGCCGAGCCACCCATTTAGCGCAAGATAGATGGGTTGAACCTCATGGGTAGCTGCAATACATCATAAAAGTTATGTTCAGTGAGCAGCAAGCAAGTACTGGGTTTGAGCATTCAGAAATAACGGTAATCTCGCTAGGGGTAAAGTTTGGGCATACAATTTGGTTTATCCCTGCGTTTGCGATCAATGTAAGAATTTAAAAATATTTCCTTATGACTCATTTTTTCTTTAAAATGTTTCTTTAAAAATGTTTATAACTAGAACTACTTAACTCATTTGTCCCGTTTCATAATAAAATATTCATGGTGAATATGAATATTTTATCAAGCGGCAATGAAACCCCGTCGAACAATGATTTTCATAGAATTTAAAAAAGAGACTTAGTCTCAATGAATGACTGAAATCGCGACTTCTTTCTTGACTTCTCTGTGTATTAAAATAAAAAAAGTTGAAATTAAATATTATCGAAAGAATGTTGAATATTGGAGTGACTGCAAACCACGCAGATTTTACATATTCGCACATCCTTCAAGTCACAGAAATTCGGAGTCCACAGGAGGGAAAATTTGTAAGTTTAGATTTACGGTTATTCATATGTGTTTGCAGCCTCTCAAATTAATAATTATTATTTAATAGTTAAATTTACTCTTAGCATCCAAGTTCTGCTGGAAAATTGCAATTTCCAAGTCAAACATTCCAATATTTATGTCGAAAATTGCAACGTTCATGTCAAATACTGCAATGTTTAAGACTAACGTTGCAGTAATTAAGTCCAAACATTGCAATGTTTAAATCTAACGTTGCAATTTTTGTGTCAAAAATTGCTATATATAAGTCTAAAGTTGCAATATTTAACTCAAACATTGCAATGTTTAACTTTAACGTTGCAATATCTAAGTCAAACATTGCAATATTCAAGGCATTAGGCGTAACGTTCTACTTGCTTGAACGTGACGGACAGATGGACCGTGGATGGCACAATGGTGACCGACAGGAAGGACAGCCATTAGCGGACAAAAGTGTCCATAATGAAGGTCGGCGGACAATGAGCTCCCCGCAGAGGCTTGCGCTACGGGAAATGGGGCGTTGTGTCCTGCGGGTAAACATCGATCGCCATATTGATGCATAATTTTTGCTTTAGATATCCCGTGAGGAAGGATATTGCTTTGGATATTCTTGAATAGAATGAATATATTAGTGGATATCGTTGCTTTATTTACAGAATGGATATTACTTTGGATATCCTTGAATAGAATGAATATATTAGTGGTTATCGTTGCTTTATTTACAGAATGGATATAGCTTTGGATATCCTTGAACAGAATGAATATATTAGTGGATGTCGTTGAAAATAAATGGATATATCCACTTATGGATCGCGCACTGGATATCCTAGCACAAATTTGATGTTGCTTTGATGCTGATCCTTCAACAGAATGTATGTATTAGTGGATGTCGTTGCAATAGGTGGAAATGGCACTGAATGTCCCTGTATTAAATGGATATTGTTTTGGATATACTAGCGCATGGAGTCGGCTCACTGCAACCTTAGACTAAATCGTTATATTAACATTAAGTTAATCTTTATTATGGAAGTCATTAAGGCGTTTGTGATGAGGTTCAGTAAGAATCAAGACTTTCTTGACGGGAGGGCGCGGAGTCTATTAGTGAATCTTTTTTCTAAATAAACTTAAAACTTCTCTCTAAATATCGACTAATAATTCACTGAATATATGTTCAAGGATCCATATTCACATCAATACAATTATATAGGCAAATAGCGAGCAGACAAATCTACCCTGAAATGAGCTAAGCATTATTTTTTATTGTTTTAATTACTTATTACTCGGATAGTCCATTTTAAGCTCGCCGGCCGAGTATAAAAAGCAAATAAAGGAATGTAAATTTAATTATTTATGTTTTAATCTCCTGTTCGTGCATGCATGGGTGTAAATTTTTTAATCGTTAGATGTCACCACTGCGCCTAATGAATTATTTTTACAAAGATACTTCAATAACAGGGAAAAAATAACTAATAAATCTACGGTACATTTAATGAATATTTCAGTAACTAAGGAGACCTCAACGCTCAGATAACTTCTTTCGTGATATCTATTGTATAAAATACATGAATTATTATTACATCATTTCCTAAGTTGGATTTTTGCCAACATTGCTGTAGAATATGACTTTGGTTTGGTAAATCCTAATGTCGATACTGGTGTGTTTTGTAATGGTAGAAGTGAGGGTGGTTGAATGTTGGAAATGTCGTGAGCAGAAGCAGCGCAAATCATCGTGAGCAGTAAAAAATCATTATGATGAAGAACGCTGCTCCTGGTTGCAAAGTTAAAAAAAATATGCAACAGACTTTATTCCTACAATGGAGAGTATGCCGCATTATTCTGCACCAACTTCCCAATTAGGTTGGAAAGTTAATAATCATTTAAGCTTCTCTATAATGATATAATAATTAACGAGAATGTAGCTTGAGCAGTACTTCTTATCTGTTAAACTGATCTATAAATATTTATACTATAAAATCTAAATATTGAGTTGTATGGCCTGAAAGTGAAGTGTGCCACACTACATGAAGTGTGCCACAGTCCATGAGGTGTGCCACAGTCCATGAGGTGTGTCACATTCCATGAGGTGTGCCACAGTCCATGAGGTGTGCCACAGTCCATGAGGTGTGCCACAGTCCATGAGGTGTGCCACAGTCCATGAGGTGTGCCACAGTCCATGAGGTGTGCCACAGTCCATGAGGTGTGCCACAGTCCATGAGGTGTGCCACAGTCCATGAGGTGTGCCACAGTCCATGAGGTGTGCCACAGTCCATGAGGTGTGCCACAGTCCATGAGGTGTGCCACAGTCCATGAGGTGTGCCACAGTCCATGAGGTGTGCCACAGTCCATGAGGTGTGCCACAGTCCATGAGGTGTGCCACAGTCCATGAGGTGTGCCACAGTCCATGAGGTGTGCCACAGTCCATGAGG